CATGTGGATTTACAAAAACCGATGAGAGTGGAAACTGACGCATCAGACAGAGCGATTGGGGCGGTGCTTCTGCAGCCAGGGAAGAAGGAGTCAGAGTGGAGACCGTGTGCCTTTTTTCGCGAAAGCTGAACAAATCCGAGAGGAACTACACGGTGTATGACCGAGAACTACTAGCCATTCATGAGGCGTTCCGGAGATGGAGGCACCTGCTAATTGGCGCACAACATAAGGTGCAAGTGTGCACTGACCACAAGAACCTAGAGTATTGGAGGACGGCACGAGTGCTCAACCAACGGCAAGTGAGATGGGCCCAGGAGTTCTCCAAATTTAACTTTGAGATTTGTTACGTGCCAGGCCCAGAGAACATTAGGGCGGACGCTCTCTCACGCAAACCTGAATATTTGGAGGGGAGGGAGCACCGAAGAGAGACATGTCATTCCAGAGGACCGCTGGGTGTGTGGGCGGCATTGGTGGGACAAAGAGAACTGGTAGAGGAAACAGAGAATGATGAATACGCCCAGAATAAGCTCAGAGGTCTTAGGGGTGAGGGAGAGGAACCAGGGGTTTCGAGGAAAGAAATGGAGCTTTGTATTACAAAGGGGCACTGTATATCCCTGAAGGAGACTTAAGGGGAGGGTACTCAAGCAGTTGCACGACAGCCCTACGGCGGGGCATTTTGGACAACACAAAACCATGTGGTTGGTCACCAGGGAATTTTGGTGGCCTAAGGTGAGGGAAGATGTACGTGAGTATGTAAGAGGGTGCGAGCAATGCCAGCGAGCCAAAGGGGAAAGGCGGGCGCCGGCGGGGCTATTAGAACCCTTACCAACCCCAGAACGACCTTGGGAGGCAGTGTCGATAGATTTTATGACTGATCTGCCGAAGTCCAAAGGGAAAACAGCCATCATGGTGGTGGTAGACCTACTAACAAAGATGTGCCACTTTGTAGCTTGCTCGCATGCAGTCACGGCGGAAGAGACAGCGAAGTTATTTGTAGAACACATTTTTAGGTTGCACGGGGTGCCATTGAGGGTGGTCTCAGACCGAGGAAAACAATTTACTTCCAGGTTCTGGAGGAAGCTCATGAGCTTACTGCAGGTGGAGGTCAATTTTCGACTGCCCGGCACCCTGAAACCAACGGGCAGGCGGAAAGAGCAAACGGTGTCCTCCAGCAATACCTGAGGTGTTATGTCAATGACAGAGAGAATGACTGGGTAGAAAAGTTGGCGCTGGCGGAATTTGCCTACAACAATGCCGAGGAAGTGTCCACAGGGATGAGCCCCTGCTTGGCTCCTTATGGGTGTCATCCCAGGGCTTTCCCAGGGGAGATGGGGAGAGATGGAGCGTCCCGGCAGCCGAGCATTTTGTGGAAGAAATGGAAGCAATCCATCGTCAGCTCCAACTCAACTTAGAAAGGGCGAAGGAAGAATACAAGAGGCAGGCAGACAAGAACCGAAGGGAAGGTGAAACCATAAGGGTGGGAGATAGGGTGTGGCTGTCAACCCAAGGGTTGCCGTTCAAAGGAGGTTGTAAGAAATTAAGACCCAGGAGGTTGGGTCCCTTTGAGGTCATTCAACAGGTCAACCCAGTGGCTTTCAGGCTCCGGTTACCCAACCACATGAAACTGCACCCAGTATTTCACAGGTCGTTACTGTCACCGTACGAAGGGGGACGAGAAGGGATGGCCACTCGGGACCGGTCATAGAAGAAAGAGAATGCAGCAGCCATGTGGCAGAAATCCTCGACGCCAGGTGGAAGGGGGATCAGGTGGAGTATTTGGTAGCGTGGGAAGGAGAACCGGAGTCAGAAAACACTTGGGTAATGGCCGAAGATATCAATGACGAGGTATTGATAGAAACGTTCCATCAAAGGTTCCCAAGGAAACCTCAGCCTGTGGAGAGGTTCCGGAGGGAATACTTTGGGACCACTGATGAGGGGAGGAGTTGGAAGGATTCCCGGACTCGGAAGGGGAAGGGGAGATGGACTCTGAGGAGGAGGAGTACTTCGAGACCAGGAACCGCAACAGGTGGAGAGAAGTGTTCGAGACATCGGAAGATGAAGGAAGTTCATTCCGGGTTTTGCCTCCTCACCGCCCGTAGAGGAGGGGGCGAGAGGGGTGAAGGGGGCCCTGGAGGGGAGATGGATGTCAGGAACTGCCATCGGACGGAAGGGAGGTGAAAGGGCTCACACAGGTTGGGGAGAGACTCAGCAGCTGAAGAGGGAACCAGCAGGGGAGAGGAGCTGAGCTGAGGGAAAGTGAGCTGGAGGGATGGCTCAGAGACACTTCCAGCGAAAACAGTGGGGAGGTTTCAGGACCTCCTGTAAGAACACCCACTCCTCGCCGGAAACTGTCACGCAGAGAGTCCAGAAGACGTGTTTCCGTTAAGGAGCTTTTATGTTGGAAGCGATTACGAAAGCAACCACTGTCGGAATCTGCTAGTGACTAGAGGAGCCATGTCTGAGGGGCTCCGTCACAGACAGAGGTTTGTGGAC